GGGGAAGAAAGGTGTCATGTCAAGGAACTCAATTAATGAGCCAATGCATTTCCATTGAGAATCATTGATGCCATTTAAGAAATGGAAGGAGAGATTATTAGAAAGGAGAACTGAGTCAAATGCCTGCTAATATACAATACATCCTACCTCAAACTAGACATGTTATCAGCTCTGCAGTAATTGCAGTGCCCTAAGTTGAATAAATAATTATTTTTACATTTTCATGTCAATTCCGAAAGCAGAAAGAGAGTAGAACAAAGAAAACCACCAAAAAGAAGAAAGGAGAAACTGTGGCCTAAGTTTTCAGGCTAGGTAACCTACTGTGGCGCTAAACTATTTTCCTGCTTGTCGACAGCACAACCTTGAGGAAGAACTGTCCCGCCAATTCTTGTTGGAGGCCAATACCGAAATATTGATCTGCCTATTATGTTCTTTGCAGGTAGCGGTCCCCTGTTTTAAATAAGACTGATACATAAGATGCACATGTTTAATGAATCTAAGCAGTTTACGCGATGGTCTTAGCTTTTTCAAAGAGCGGATAACTCACCACACATGCGAATCATAGCTGTTATTCCGATTATCACCCATCACAAAAACTGAATTCTCAGGTACACGCTGCAGTAGGACATGAACAGAAAACAGTAAGAACAGTAGGCATTCTTCTCACACTAAATGGAAATTAAACAACACACTTTGGCCACAACTTTGATGGTTTTAGGCTTTTAGTATTAGTCAAAACTTCCTAAGGAGGAGATTGGGAGGGAAGCTGATTGCTGAGTTAGGTGAATTGGTAAAAAATGGAACATACCACTGGTGTCATTTCGTATTTGGGTGCCTCGAGAAGAAAATCTTCACTTCTCACAACCCCATTTATGATCAGTTTTCCTTCATGAACCTGCACTACCAAGAATAACCAAATTATTTCCTTTTATATTGCTCAACTTGGACAGATATTCGGTAATAAACCCCTCCCCCACATTGCAACCAAGGAATAAAAAAAGAAGAAAAAAATAGCAACAAGAAACAAGTGTGCATGTGGCGGTGTTATCAAATGCGCTCTTAAAGCGGTCTTAAGCCTTGAAGTAAGGTGCAAAACATGTTGAGCGCATCAAGGCTTTAAGGGATACTTTTCCTAGCCAATGAGCGCACACTACATAATTGATATTTCACTTTATCATAATTTTTTTTTTCAATTTCTTGTCCATATATTTGTTATTCATGTTTATAATTGTCTTTGACCAAAACGGCAGCCCGGTGCACTAAGCTCCCACTATGCGTGGGTTCCGGGAAAGGGCCGGACCACAAGGGTCTATTATACACAGTCTTACCCTACATTTCTGCAAGATGCTGTTTCCACGACTCCAACCCGCGACCTCCTGGTCACATGACAATAACGTTACCAGTTATGTCAAGGCTCCCCTTTAGTCTTGGACTACACATACATATTAGTATTATTTTTCTCCTTTTGCGCTTTTTTCCATCAAATCCCACGCTTTATTTGCACTTAAAGCCCTAACCGACCTTAGAGCATTTTTGCACTTTTTGCCTTTGATAACACTATAGCAAACGAAAGAAAGAAGACAAAACTTCCCCTTAGACCTTCCTTTACTATAATAAACCTAGAGGAAACACAACTGATAAGTTCCTAACTAGTAAATAGATTTACTCTCTCAAATTGAATCTCTAATTTTGATTTGACACAAAGAAAGTGACAATGTGAATAATTAAATGGGAAAGTAGGTTTTAAATTTTGAGTTATCTTTTCGTTGTTTAAGAATGAAAAAAGAAAAGTTACAATGGAAAGTCTAAAAGTGGATTCTATACACCAAAAAAAAAAAAAAAAAAANGGGAAAGTAGGTTTTAAATTTTGAGTTATCTTTTCGTTGTTTAAGAATAAAAAAAAAAAAAAAAAAAGAGGATTCTATATAGTTTCTTCTTTAAAGTACTCCTATTAAATAGACTTTTCCATTTCAGTGAAATGGACACTATCTTAGGTTGGGACAAAATAAGAGAGGTGGGCTTCGAATTTGTGATTAAAGTGGACGGGAGTAATGAGACACCAAAAAGAACCTCGTTGGGGGTCAAAGTGAATATCAATTTATACGCAAATTCACCAGGAATTCTCCTAAAAGAGCAAAGATCGGAGAAGAATTCTACTATTTGACAACCTAAACTTATACTAGTTCAAGTGGCACATACACCGTGTATTAGAGTTGCAGCCTTGTGGTTGCAATTCCAACTTGGACCACTTGGTAATGCCAATGCTTATATCTATATCCACGTAATGCTATTAGAAACTCAACGTCACAGAACTAGTGGTGGCTATGAAATGCCAAGTGATCAGTCATAACTAAGCAGTTCAAGTTCCCAACAATTAAAAAGTAGTAATGCTGCTTCTATTATCTAGTGAACTCACCTCGACAATATCACCTTCCTTGGCAACAATCCTCTTAATAAAGACATCGTCATCTGTGTATCCTACTTCCTGAAGGACTGGAGGACTTTTGAATATTACTATATCATTGGGACAAGGCTTTCTGAGATAGTAGCTGACCTGTAAATCACAAGACAACATAGTTAACAAACAAAAATGACTTTAAAATAATCGATCCGCCATATTCTAATAAATAATACACAGTGGCGGATGTAGAGTATATCTACTGGGTTCCCGGGAACCCAGTAATTTTTGCGTAGACTCTGTACTTTTATTAAAAAATCCATTAAATATTAATAAATATATAACTGTGAACCCAGTTATTATTGTATATTAATTTAATATTACAATAGGAACCCATAAACTTCAAATCCTGGATCCGCCTCTGATAATACATATGGAGCGGACATCATAGCACAAATAATTGTCTTCAGATGATTGCAACACAATGCGACTTACTTCAAATATTGACTATAGGAAGGAATTTAGATACAATTTGCAGGTAGCCATCTAAAACTATTCTGACACCTAGTAAAAGGTATTTTGATGCATTTAAAACTGAAATAATAGCAAACTAACCACTAATCACTACTACTATAAGTCTTACAATCCTAAAATCAAATTCAACTACAACACGTTTCAACATTTATACTTACTGATACTGACATTTTTATTTTTAATTCAACATTCAGACACTCAGGAGGGAGCAATAATAGAAGCATAAATTCCGCAACCATCCTATTCCCCACATTTCAATCTATCTCCAACATGAAACTTACCTAAAACAACTGAAAACAGTCACATCAGAAGGAAATATTCAGCAAAAATGTTACCAGCCCAAGGGTGTCACTTATTTGTTAGTAAAGTGTCTGCAAACCTTGGAAACCAGGTTCAAATGATTGCACAAGAAAATATTAGGTGATTTCTTTCCATCTGCCTAAACCTTGGCCGGCAGAGTTAACCAATACTTGAGTTGTTGGAGATAGCAGGTACCTAGTCGAATATTCGAGGTGAGCACAAGCCGCCCAAACACCATAGTTATCAAAAGAAAAACTGACCAACTTTATTAACACCCCTTATATATCAATTATACCTCAATCCCAAACAAGTCGGTATTAGCTTATATGATTCACCTATATCCATTTAGATGATTCAACCTAGCTTAACCATCCTCCTTTATCCGACTAAACTTTCAAAGTTCAACTTCTTCAACAACAAGAGGAATAAATTCACAAACATATACAACAACTAAGTTTCAGTATTAAACAAGTTGGGGTCGGCACGTTAACAAATATATAGTAGTAAAGAAAAAACAAGAAAATTACCTTTTCAGCTACAATTCTATCGCCAACATCAAACGTGGGATACATGGACAAAGAAGGTATAAACCGTGGCTCAGCCACAAAGGACCTAAATGCAAGTGATACAGCCACTGCTAAAAAGACAGTTTTTGCATCATCCGGACTAAAATTCAGCCATTCTGGCAAAACCCCATTTTGCTCATCATCTCCACCACCACCTCCGCCGCCGTCGCCACCACCGCCGCCGTCCAAAACTGCCTTTGAAGTCTCTTCATTTGAGTCTTTTTTGACCCCTTTACATATAAAGCTCTGATTTTTAGCTTTTTTACATCTAAATTGCTTGAAAGTTAGAATCTTGGGAGTTCTGATGAAAAAATTGAAATGGGTATCATTGAATTGGAAAGTTTTAGATAAAGGGTTGAATTTGGAAAGTGAGAAATTTGGGGTTTTTGAGGTAAAGTTAGGGTTTTGAAGAGAAGATAATGGAAGGAGAAGCTGAAGAGCTATCATTGAATTGAATGTAAATTTTTATCTGAAACAGTTTAGAGTTCCCTTTAGGTGTTGAAATTTGAATTGGCAGCTAATTACGTGTGTATTTCGGTTAGGGGGCAATGGTACATACTAATTTTTCAGTTATTCTATTATGTATCACCAAAATTAGGACTTAGCAAAACTTTTTAGATAATTTTATATTTTAAAAAGTGATAAATTAAAAAAATATGAAAGATGGCTAAAGTATAGATCCATTAATATTCTACAACAAAGTTTTGAAAACAAAAAAGGCAAAATACACCGACAGACCATTAAACTTGTCCTTTCTTTTCACTATGACATTTAATCTTGAGTCTGTTCCATTTAAACCTTATAACAAAGTTATTACTGTGTCATTTAGACGTAAAATTTAATAGGCAGCCAAACATAAAAGATACGTGTAATTCACACGCCAAGTAACGAATAAGACGAGGACACATGGATTTAATTTCAACAAAGTTAAAAAAATATTTAAAAATATAAAAGAAAAATAAGAACCTCACCCACCCCTTCCTCATCTTCCAAGACGACCCCTCTTTAATCTTATACAAATTCCCACCCCTACCATCCTATCACTTTTTAATCCCACCCTACCACTCTTTAATCTTCTACAAGTTCCCCGCCGGCGACAGATCCCTGTTACTCCGATTCATTTCTTCCATCGGCGACCGGTCCCCTGTTCACCCCATGCTTCTTACAACTCTCTTTCTTCCGTCGTCTTCTCGGCGGCTCCCTCCAATATTTCACCCTCTACAAAAATAGAGGGGTTGAAGGCAATATCGAAAAATTAGTGGAGAAATGATATGAAGAGGAGTTGTGATAGTATCCCATTGAGAAGATGAATAAGAGAAATAGATTTTTTTTTTAGAAATAGTGTCTTTTGTTTCCACCTGTAGTTCGGGCCCACATCAATGGTAACATGTTAGTATTTTTGTATTTAAATGACACAGTAAAGACCTTGTTAAGGTGTAAGTGAAATAGACTAATTAAGATAAAGTATTAAAGTGAAAAGAGATGACAAGTTTAATGGTCTGCCGATGTATTCTACCTAAAAAAAGCTAAGCAAATACAAAGAAATATAGATTACACGAGTGGCAAGATATTAACCAAGTTAGGGGACACAAGAATAAAGTCTATAGGAGATTAAATATTTAAAAAGATAAATCTAAATCAAACGAAAGAAAGAAAAAGTATTACATTATAGTTTGCTACTCATAATCACTACAATACCTTGTGTATTGCTAGTGAATATGCGGGAAATAATTTAGTTTCAATAGGAGTAGCATAATAGGTTTGGGAATTAGAGTTTTGAATTTACTTACTTGTTGGCTTGTAACAGTTTTCATAATTCTAAGACCCAAGAAAAATTTAATGCTTTATTATTTTTAAACTTGATATATAAATATATATTTAACATGTAAATTAATCTGGTACAGTTCGGTATTTTTTCGGTTTATTTTCATAAAATACAAAACATATCCTAATTATCGGTACGGTTATAGATTCACATAAAAACATACGATTTTATTAAAAGAAACCTAAAAATCAATTTGGTACGCTACAGTTCGATAAGTTTAGTCGATTTTTAAATATCCATTGACGCCCCTAATTTCAGTTATATTTTTTTTTATATTTATTTTTTCCTTTTCAAGAAAAGAGACATTTCTAGTTTGCCTAGTTTAATTGATCGCAAATTTTTTTACAATAAAATTGTGTAGGCGACCTACACAATTGTGTAGATGAATTTCTCTCATAGTTAGAAATAGAAAGAGTAAATATAATTTTCAATACTTTAGGGGCAACTATGAAGTACTAACCATTCTAATTAGAAACTTGAAATCTGAGAAAGGGTATGATTTATGAATTAGTTGAAAAGAATGAGTTGTGATTTGTTTTTTGTGTGTGTTAATTGGTGTTAGGAGGGGAGTCTTGGTGTAATTAGTAAAACTGCTGTCAATTGCCATGTGATCAGGAAGTCACGGGTTCAAGCCGTGGAAATAATCTCTTGCAGGGTAAGGCTGCGTACAATAGACCCTTGTGTCCAGCCCTTTTCCGGACCCTGCACATAGCAAAAGATTAGTACATCGGACAACCCTTTTGTTAATTGGTGATTAAAATCAATAGATCCTTTATCCGTCATTCATCGAAGAGAATATGACTTACATAAAAATGAACCAAATGGGATCTGATATTGGTTTAAACAAATTACGATTGAGGGGAGTTGTGTTAAAGAACTCCTAGCCTTCAACTATTTTGGAGAGAGGTTCAATTAAAAATTGTCAGAATTTTAAGATTATGGGTACTCACTTTCTTTAACATAAAGTTGCTACCAACCGCATATATAAGTGTACAACCGTATATCAATTTTCTTATATTTTTTTATATAACAATACAGAGTTTATGCGGAAGTCAATGGGTGCAAAAGCACCTAAAATTAGTACATAGATGTGCCACTGGGTGGAATGGATATAAGTCTTCTATCTTAATCAGAATTTCATTATTTAGTTTTTATAGCAATATACATATATTATACAATAATTATACATATATAATACATAAATTATGCATATATTATTGTCCACCGACTATTTTTAATTTAAGTGGTTGGGTGAGGGACTATTTGGGTTAATTCTTCAAAAATAATTATTGCCAGGTAGAAAATGGTTAACTTTAACGGACCTATGAAGATGAACCAACATCTTCAGCTTGCTCCTTTCTACTGATTTTCATGGGCCATAGCATGGTCCATTTTACCAGAAGCCTTAATTAAGAGGTAGAAATAGCTTTTACTAGCCACTTTTTTGGCCATGTCTTTAAAAAATAGCTTCTGTTATGAAGTTTTAAATTTCCCTAGTGAAACTTCAAGACATTATAGTAGAATTTGCTTGTTAAATTTGAAACTCCGGGACATTGATTATTTTTCAATTACAAAACCTGAAAAGTGACTATTTCTTAAAGTTTTTCCCCAATTAGAGATATAACAACATGAGTCTTGCTCATAAGGACAGGCCATGTTGTTCATATTCGGCCCAAAAGGTTGCCAGAAACAGGTTAGAGGGCAAAAAACCGGCCGAATCGAAAACTTTGGTTTATATGGTTTCGGGTTTTTCGGCTTATTCAGGCGGTTTTGTTGGTTTATGTTTTCTATAGTTTCGGTGTTCGGTTTGCAACTTCGATTTTTGGTTAAACCGAAAAATCGAAATTTTCTAATATAGGTCCTAGCCTCTGGATTCCTCTTAAGTTGTCTAGCCCAACTTATTCACATATTTAAATTATAAATTTGAAGCTCAAACCCAAATAAAGTCTCACATTCTAATAATTAGCCCTTTTATTTTGCCAATACATCTTTCATCTTTGTTTGCTTGCGCGTCGCCGATGTTGTTGTGGAATAATGAGTAATGACATTCATCTTTATTTGCTAGCGTCTCTTTTATTTTTTACAAGAAAAATTTATTGCATTGTTGAAATAGAAGAAAACAGTAATCCTACTATATAATTTATTTTGCATAATATTTGTTTATGTTTCATCGGAAGTGTGAGATCTAAAGTAGAAAACTCTTTATATAATAGATACTAATGCTCCTCTAATTTGAACTTGCTTGTATTATGCTTTTAGATGATTGTCTACATCTTTACGAGATAGTTATATTGTAATCTTTGTCAAGTAAATTTGTTCATATTTTTGAATTTTAGTTACACTAAAATATGAAATTAGTCATATTTTTCAGTAGAAAAGTCCAATTTGAAAGCTCAATACGATAAGACCAAACCGGCTGAATCCAACCGAAATCGACCGTACCAAATTAGCAAAAACCAAAGAAATCGCACTAATTTTGGTTCGGTAATTGGTGTACCAAATAAAAACCCGAAAATCGAACAAACCAAACTAAACTTCATGAAAACCGAATAGAACGGACCGGCGCCCACCCCTAGGCAAAATGTTGTTTTGTTACTAAAGTAGAGTCTAAAAAGGGGATCTTTACACAATGGCCGGCCGGAAATATTATTTACTTTTTCTAATCAGTATACATAGATTATACACTAATTATATACATGTTATACATAAATTATACATGTATTATATATCCTCTGGTTATCTTTAGTTTAAATGGTTGAGTTGATTGTTATTTAATTTAATTCTTCTCGAAAAAAATGGTTGTTTTTTGTATCAATCAATAGATTAAGGGGTCGTTTGGTAGGATGCGTTAGATGAAATAATGCATGCATTAGCTTTGTGTATTAATAATACATTGTTTGGTATACATTTTGAACATATGCATTAGTTATACATCCTATTTGGTATTACCCTATGCATAACTAATGCATAGAAAACAATGGTATTAGCAATGCAATGAGTTTTAGTGCAATCATTAGCTTAGTTAAAGACAAAATTGTCCTTCAACATTTATGCTTGATTAAAATATGCTAGTTATTATATTGATGGAAGTTTAAAATAATTCAAATAGTGAGAAATAAAATTATAGCCCTAGTAAATAAATAAATACTTAGCATATTTCCTTTTTTATAAATAAATATTTAGTTCTATTTTACAATATAGGTAGACAAATTAAATAATTTTTTTTAAACTTTTTCATATAAAAATATTTCTCAACATATGTTTCATTTAGAAAATTAAAGTGATGGACTGGTTTTGGGGGCATTTTTGTAAACAAACAATTCTTTTAGAAATTGCACAATGTTTTAATACATCAAACCAAACAATGGATAAGAAATATGTTAGCATAACTAATACCAGTATAATTAATGCAAGCATAACTAATACCAACATTACTAATACACCATATTCAACATTATTCTTATGCACCCTACCAAACGACCCCTAAGTCTCTCAGTATGCGTGCAAAACAACATCTTCGGGGTGATGAGGTGGACAAATTCCTTACTCCAGCTTCAAAGGAGCATTTTTGCATGAATAGATACTTAGTCGGAGATTAGAGCATAAGAACTTTGTAATGTCAGAGAAAATTCACAATAAATTTATTTTATACAGTTTAACACATCTAATAAATTTGAGTGAAAGAAATAAACCTGATTTCTGGGACAATCTTGAAACCCTTTACCTTAAAGCTACATGTTGTAGGCGGATCTATGCTATACTTTGAGGACGTCATCGGCACCCATAAAATTCGTAAAAATTTCATGTATACATGTGTATGTCTTTAAAAAAATAGTACTAATAAATTAGTACCGGATACCTTATATACAAAGCAGATTTTGCTTGAATCTATCCAAAAGTAAATCACCGACCTTTAAATTTTGAATCCGCCTCCGAATTTACCCATAACCCCCACACAAATGATTAACCAACCAACAAACAAGAACTCTACAACCAACTAATAAGATTTTTTAAAAATAAAAAAAAAAAAAACAGTAGATACTAACGGTTGGCAGAAAAAACCATGTGATGAGAAGTAGTAAAGTCAATAAATATGGCAAAATTGTAGCAAATTGGTACTGCCATATTCTTGTGACTTGTCCCCATGATTTCTTGCATGTGCAAAAAGGTTGTCTTGACCATAAATTTAATAGATAGCCCTTTTTAACTTTTGCTTTCTTTTTGTGTTACATGTGACCATCTAATTCCGACAAGGACCACCTTCCTAATTGCATTAAACAATAGGACTATATAGGAGTGGTTGTTTATGCACCAAAAGACAGAAACCAACAATGTTTAAACTATTGGTCAAGCTTTCTTCTTATGTATCCAAATAATTAGATTTATCATTAACTTGTCCAAATCGCATTTATATGCCCGTTACGAAATTAAATACATGGACAACAACAACCTTAGTATAATCTTGTGTATGCAAACCTCATCCCTGCCTTGTGAAGAT